TTTCTCGCATTTCTCTATTCCTCTGCCTCACACTCCTTCTCCTTCTCACGCATTCTCTATTCCTCTGCCTCTTCTCCTTCTCATTCTCGCATTTCTCTATTCCTCTGCCTCACGCCTTCTTCTCCTTCTCGGCTTTCTCGCATTTCTCTATTCCTCTCCTCACACTTCCTTCTCTCAGCTTTCTCGTATTTCTCTATTCCTCTGCCTCACACCTCCTCCTTCTACAGCTTTCTCGCATTTCTCTATTCCTCTTCCTCACACCTTCTCCTAAGTTTTCTCCCTTTTGTATATGGGTTCGCCGATATGGATGAGCCGGCTCCACTGATTTTCCTATTAAGGCTCATTCCATTTTGGTTTTGACAACGGTTTTTACAGCCGGATGCCCTTCCTGACACCGACCCTCTCTATTTATCCGGACTTGGGACCTGCACCCACAAAGGCAGGCTCCCCCCCCCCCCCAGATGGTTCTCACAATGGGCAATCGAGGTAAAGAATCCACGTACTTATTTATTTACTCTTGGGCATAGAGGAAGAGAATCGAATGGATTCCTCCGACTTAAAACCTTTCCTTCCTCGAGTGCTCTTTTGACGCCGTGGTATCCTATGACATCCTTTTACCTATAGTGCCATGGTATCCTGTGCCATCCCTTTCCCCCATAGTGCCGTGGTGGCGTTCTTGTCTAGCGATCTTGCTGACCTGCGTTCGATTCCCGCGCACTGCCAGTGGATGGTCACCCCGGCCATTCCTCGCACACAGGGGGTATTTAGAAGCACAATAAACAGACAAGCCACAATCTGACTGATGTCACAAGAGCCTGTCTCAGCAAACCCTAAATTATTATTATCATCATCCTCATTATTATTATTTATTATTATTTATTATTGTATCATTGTTATCATTATCATTATCATTGTTATTATTATTATCTATTATTATTGTTATCATTATCATTATCATTATTATCATTATTATTATAATTATTATTATTATTATATGTTATTATATTTAATTCATCATTATCATCAATTATCATTATTATTATTATCACCATCATATCTTCACCATCCTCCTCATCCTCACCATCATCATCACCATCCTCCCCACCCTCACCATCCTCACCCTCACCATCCTCACCCTCACCATCCTCCTCACCCTCACCATCCTCATCACCATCTCCTCCCCATCCTCCTCACCATCATCATCACCATCTCACCATCACCCTCACCATCCTCCTCACCCTCCTCCCCACCCTCCTCATCCTCATCCTCCCCATCCTCCTCACCCTCCCCACCCCCTCGCAGGACCTGTACGACGCGGGCATCGGGAGCAACGCCGGCACGGACGAGGCGGAGTTCGTGCGGGTCCTCATCACGCGGAGCTACGGCCAGCTGAGGGAGATCTTCGACGCCTACGACAGCATCGCCGACGAGGCCATCGAGGAGTCCATCGAGAAGGAGTTCGGCGGGGACATCAAGGCCGGGCTGCTGGCCATAGGTGCGGGGGGAGAGGAGAGGTTGGGGTGGGGGGGGGGGATGGGGGGGAGAGAGAGGGGGTGAGGGGATGGGGGGATGAGAGGGGGGGGAATGGGGGCTACGACAGCATCGCCGACGAGACCATCGAGGAGTCCGTCGAGAAGGAGTTCGGCGGGGACATCAAGCCGGGCTGCTGGCCATAGGTGCGGGGAGAGGGAGGGTGGGGGATGGAGAGAGAGGGGGTGAGGGGATGGGGGGAGAGAGGGGGGGGGAAGGGGGCTACGACAGCATCGCCGACGAGACCATCGAGGAGTCCGTCGAGAAGGAGTTCGGCGGGGACATCAAGGCCGGGCTGCTGGCCATAGGTGCGAGAGTGTGGGGTTGGGGGGGGTGGGGAGAGAGAGAGGAGGGGGGGAATGGGGGGAGAGAGAGGAGAGAGGGGAATGAGGGAGAGAGAGAGAGAGAGGGGGGAGTTGGGGGGATGGGGGAGAGAGAGAGAGGGGGTAGGGATGGGGAGAGAGAGGGGGGGGGAATGGGAGAGAGAGGAGGGGGGATGGGGAATGAGAGAGAGAGGGGGGGATGGGAGAGAGGGGGGAGATGGGGGGATGGGGGAGAGAGAGAGAGGGGGGAGGGGAGGGGAGACGAGAGAGGGGGGAATGGGGAGAGAGAGAGAGAGGGGATGGGAGGGAATGGGGAGAGAGAGAGGGGGGGAAATGGGAGAGAGAGAGAGAGAGGGGGATGGGGGAGAGAGAGACGGAATGAGGGAGAGAGGGAATTAGGGAGAGAGAGAGAGGGGGGGAATGAGGGAAAGAGGCGAGAGAGGAGAGAGAGAGAGGCGAAAGAGGAATGGGGAGAGAGGCGAAAGAGAGGGAATGGGGGAGAGAGCGAGAGAGAGAATGAGGAGAGAGAGAGAGAGGTGGGGCGGCTCTTTGTCCTCTTGACTCGGTCTGTGGTTTGGGCTTTGCGATCGTTCGCTTCGGATTTAAAGGTCATTGATGCTAATAAATTATAAGGTATTGGAAGATGTGCAAAAATAAATTGCTAGAGAAAGGAAATGTTATATATACACATATGTGTGTGTGAGCACACGTACACCTATGTGTATATGCGTGTGTATGAATATATATAGATAGACAGATACACACACAGACACAACACTCATATCTATGTATGAATGTATATATATATATATATATATATATATATATATATATATATATATATATATATATATATTATATATATATATATTTATATTTATATATATATTATATATTACACATATATATGTGTGAGAGAGATATCACAATAAAGAGTTCATTTTGATAGATCATAAACAATGAAACACTGAATACACGTGCTTACTTCCAACATACATTCATGTTCATGTTTTTGTGACCCCCCCCCCCCCAGTGCAACGCGTGAGAGACCCCTCGGGTTCTACGCTGAACGCCTGAACAACGCCATGGCAGGAGCAGGAACCGACGACAAGGCTCTCATCCGCATCCTCGTGTCGCGAAGTCAGGTGAGAGGAGTGAGGGAGTGAGGCGAGAGGAGAGAGAGATGAGAGAGGGAGAGGCGAGAGAGATGAGAGAGGAGCGAGGCGAGAGAGATGAGAGAGAGGAGAGAGGCGAGAGATGGAGTGAGGGAGAAAGGCGAGGGAGGGAGGGAGAAAAGAAAGGGAGTGATGGAGAGAGGCGAGAGAGGGAATGAGGGAGACAGACTAGAGAGTGAGTGAGGGAGAGAGCTAAAAGAGGGAGAGAGATATAAGAGGGAGAGGCGAGAGAGGGAGTGAAGGAGAGAGACGATAAAGGGAGTGAGGGAGAGAGACAATAAAGGGAGTGAAGGAGAGAGCCGAGAGAGGGAATGAAGCACAGAGACAAGAGAGAGTGTAAGCTAAACTTGTCAGCCAGGCTGGAATAAAAACAAAAAACTTCAGAGTATCAGCCGTTGTTTCAAGGTACTGACTGTGTTTCATCCTCATTAGAAAGGCCACCAAGAGAGATTCGTGGCGAGTCGACAAAGGGCCAAAGTGTTTAGCAAGTGTGACTGTGTCCTTTATATTTTTCTGCCGCGAGGGTAAGCAGAACTGATAAATGGATATGGTTCAAGCTCCCTTTTCATATGCCGACTATGCACTGTAAGATTCGCGAGGGTTGAAAGTATGAATGAATGTAATGCGTTGTGGATATAAGCAAAACCATCGTTCTTCTTTCTTCATGTATAGGGGTTTCGACTAGTAACGCCATCCCTCTTGTTTCTTCTCTTGTGAGGTTTTAGACTAGCAAAGCCATCCTCCTAATTTCTTCTTGTATAGGGTTCTAGACTAGTAAAGCCATCCCTTTTCTTCTTGTAGGGGGGTTTCGACTAGCAAAGCCACCCTTCTTTCTTCTATCATGAGGTTTTCGACAAGCAAAGCCATCCGTCTTCCATCTTCTATTATCAGGTTTTAGACTAGCAAAGCCATCCCTCTTCCTTCTTCTATTATGAGGTTTGAGACTAGTAAAGCCATCCCTCTTCTGCTTGTTTAGGGTTCTAAACTAGCAAAACCACCCTCCTTCTTTCTTCTTGTAGAGGGTTTTCGACTAGCAAAGCAATTCCTCTCCCAACTTCTATTATCAGGTTTTCGACTAGCAAAGCCACCCTTCCTCTTTCTTGTATAGGATTCTAGACTAGCAAAGCCATCCCTCTTCTTCTTGTAGAGGGTTTTCGTCTAGCAAAGCCATTCCTCTCCCAACTTCTATTATCAGCTTTTCGACTAGCAAAGCCCTCCTCCTCCACAGATCGACCTGGCCGACATCAGGTCCCGTTACAAGGAGCTCTACTCGACGGATCTCGTGGAGGACATCGAGGCAGACTGCAGCGGGGACTACTGCAAGCTCCTCGTCGCTCTCGTTGGAGGAGAGTCGAACTGAAGTCCTCGAGAAAGCCCTTTTCTTGCTTATCTTGAGCGAAGGAAAAGAGTGAGAAAGAGAGAAATAAGTGTCATGACTCAGACCTCTAACTTACGCACGGTAGAAAATTGACGAGTTGTTGTGGTGAATAATGGAAAAATGTTGATCTTCACTTGGAAAAAACGAATAAATAAATAAAGAGTAATATGTCTTTTCTCTCGAGGAAATTCACTTGGAAAAAACAAATAAATAAATAGAGTAATATGTCTTTTCTCTCGAGGAAGGAATGGAATTTGTCGTTTGACTGATTCTGCACATGTTTATGCGGAAGGTTTGGCCTGTTCTCCATATGGGAAAAATGCTGTTCATGTTCTGAAGAGCCGATTGGGAAACAGTCGTCTTTGTTCCTGTAGGATTTTATTCATATGCATCTGAGAGATATTTGATTACATTCTTTGTGAAGTTAATGGTAAGAAAAAAAAAAATAAACGATGATTCAGAATCTCGAAATAAAGATATTCGGATGGATTGGGCCATGTGATATGATTAGTTACTTAGCCTTAAGGAAGATACCTCTTTTGCACTCTCATTTCCCAAGTGCCTTCTTCGCTCCTTCGGGCCGTACCAGACCAG